ACTATATATATAAATGTGACACAGGTTGCAGGTATTAGGTTGCATGTCCACCAGTGTGCTGAAATACCATCCAGTGACCCGGTCTTGTTCATTGTTACTTGCATCTTGCTTAATTCAACTGTTTTCGCCCCATTTCTTGTACCCATAAAGTTCTTTTCAATAATCTAGAAAACTTCAAAATCATTCAGTAAATTTAATTTTAAAATTGGGTGAAAGGTAAGGGGTCAATAATAGATGAAGAAATAATTTCTTATTGTTCATACATATGGCCCCCATCTCTGTCAGGTATTAGAGTAGAAATTTATTGAAGCCTGAAGTCAGAAAATAAATATGGCAACAAGGTTACATGCCATACTGCAGAGTTAGGCAATTTTTTTAAAGATCTCAAGGGCACAAAAGGTATAAATATAGATTGTAGGGGCAAGGGAACAAAATAATGAAATTGTGAGATTCGGGGGCAGGTTTTACAATGGAGTGCTAAAACTTTTCCCTAAAAAATCCCTGACCGGCTGGAGTGCTGAAACTGATGTTTGACTATTGAAATATCCTAGCAGGTTAGGTTCATCAGATTTTAGCTTTGTCAACCTGGCCACTCTGTTATTACAGTAATGGCTCATTTAAATAATTTCAGGTCATTACTGTAAATGTAAATACAAAGTATTTGAAGTTAAAACTGCTGTAAAATGTAGTTTAATAATATTGTACTAAAGTGTAAACACGTTTCTCAAGTCTGGCCATGTGTTTCTCAATATTCACAATATTTAACTACAATTGTACAAATTCAGCTAACTATATTAACATACTGTATAAAATATATTACAGTAAATAGCCTTCGAAATATATATTTCATAGAGCTAGACAATGTAACAAATAATGGGAATCTGCTAAATAATTTGTAACAATGAAATACTTCTAAACATTTTCAAATTCATATATACTGTACCTTTTTATACTTGATGGAAATCATCACAAATACTGTAGTATGTACGAGATTGGCTCCATTTTCACTGCTTCGAAATTCGAAACATCGCCTCCTCGGCGATTTACATAAAAGAAGATTGATGTACATTCGACGTAATATATAAACGTAACATATTAAGAAGAAAGATTACAACAAAAAATAAAAGAATATAAATAATCCGCGGCAATTCAAGTTCCATTCGTGAACTTTTCGTCGCCCCCCTGTCCAGTGCTTCCATTTTCAAAATCAAAATTTCTCATTTTTGTCATCAAAATTTCTCTAAATTCCTTAGATTGTATACGTTATTTCCTTGAAAATTCCTTGAAATTTCATTAGGCGGTTTGCAGTGCTTTTGTAGTAATACAAAGGATTTAATCAATTTTAAAGGCACAAAATAGCACAATTAACAAAGATGATGGCTAGCTAAAAAACCACAGGCTATTATAAACTATTAATACTGTTTAAAATTAAATATTTGTTATGAATTCACAACATGTCAGGGCCCGCGGAGCGTATTAGAGAGTGGGGGGGCTAAATCATCAATAAAACCCCCAAGGAAAATGTTCAATTTTCTATTACCTTAAACGCTATTTCCTGCATTTTTGGAGGAACTTTAGCAAAAAATCTCCAAGACCATCGTCATAAAAAGTAACAAAATTTAGAGCTTTTACAAACTTCTATGCAATCCTTTTACTAGGCTACTTTATAAACTAAGAGTATCTTAACAATTTTAAGCCCTCCTTAAAAATAATATTTATTAAAAATTTAATAATTTTGGCTGTCAAAAAAAGTGAGGGGGCTAAAGCCCCCCCAGCCCCCCCCCCGTCTCCGCGGTCCCTGCATATACCTTCCATTGATATGAATAATTATTATTCACAGCGTTTGGCGCCAAAAGTTACCAAATCTCATCCCTCAAAAACTTTCAGACGTTTTCGGAAACACGAGGAAAAAGTTAAAAACAGATTTTTAATTAAACATAATTGATGATTCACTCAAAATTCAAGAAATAGTGAAACTTTCGTCTGCACTAATGCACTTGGATGAATATTTAAGTTGTTCGGAAAAATTCCTTAGATTTCCTTAGATTTTTTCTCTTCCTTAGATTTTCCTTTTCGACACTAGAATTTCCTTAGAAAAGGAAATTTCCTTGAAAATGGAAGCACTGCCCCTGTCTTTATTTCCACAAAGCCCGCTCGCAGGCTAATACTCCAAGAATCTTGGAGTATTTGCCTGACACGTGACCAGCGTTTACCAGGGCTATGTCGCCGCCTTCAATTCGCGACTAGCCCTGGGTACGAGGTTGGACTATCACTAGTCAGTGTGGCGTTCAAGGTCAAAGAATTGATCGTAAAGAATTTAATTAAAGTCGTCTGACACTGCTCTGGTCAAAATCAGTTAAAATACACGAACCCTCCCACTTCCGCAATTTGTTCTGTTTATATAAGCACTGTAGCGGCTACAGAATTTAATACCGGTAAATATGTGCTTTTATGGAATGTGTGCTTTCAACTTTTATGCGCTATTACTGAATACTGTATTAGCATGTAATCAATCTAACGAAAATTAAAAATGCATTCTTTGTCACAAATTTATCGTAAAAACACAGAAAACTAAATCTCCTCACCTATATATTTGTTCATATTCTGGAAACTGGACAAAAGCTCTTTACAAACCAAAGTGCAAAAAAGTCAGAACAAATTACAGAAGCAGAAATGTTCAACGCCGAGCTTCAAAGTTTATTCTAGGCCTCCCATTCATTGATTCATGTGTGATGTATTCTATAAAGCCTATAAAGACGGATTCATCTCGACAGAACTTCTTCCCCTCTCATATTGGCATGAAAATATTTAGACTTAATGTTTTTCTTCAAAGCTATTACTGGCATTGTATCGATATCTCAAAATACCTTACCTGAACGTATTGGCTATTGCTTCCGTAAGAGTCACAAGATCATCTGCAAATGTCAACGCAATCCCATTCCGTCAACGAAAACATAAAACAACAACTTATAATCGTCCATTCTTTCTTCGAACAACTAGAACTTGGAACTCTCTCCCGGAGCATTTAAGGCTTAACATACTACTTGACTGCATTACGATCCTGCTACAACGTTGACGATGATATATTCACGAACTTGGAAGACTGTCTGTATCAAATGTAACACAAGCAGAAGTCTCATCCGACCATTAACTTGCTTGCAACAATTTTTTAAAAAATCTGAATTGAGGCGAAATTTAACTGAATTGAGGAGAAATTTAAATGCACAAATTTACGTGTGCCTACTCGATTACATACGCCAAAATACGAGTCATACACGGCGGATCGTGGTGTGTAAACGTACCTTAATTACATAACCTTATTTCTATTTTCTATATTTATATAATTATATATTGTAATATATTTTGTAAAGGGCCCACTGTAATTGGTGTTAGCTGTTGTGGTGTCCCAGCTCTTTAATTAATGCAATTGTTGTATGATGTTTGGTAGCGAAGCACAATAAATAAATAAATCTGTGGTCCGAATCTTGACTCTCAAGGCTGTGCGTAGAAATAGTGTTAAAATTAAGAAATAGTGGGTAAAGACTACTATATCTCTTCATTCACCGCTTTGCCCTTCCCTCTACTTTTACCTGAAAACTAAACAACATACCTCCTTTAGCATTGCTCTCATTGTAGTGAGCTATAAACACCGCCACAATAATTCCTATTGAATCAATTAAACCAAGAAGTAGGAAGGAAATCAGGGCAGTCATTGCCAAATAAAACCACGCATATGGACCATCTTTCTGTACAGCAGACATCTAACACGAGCGACCAAGGTATACAGACAGAAACAGACAGTGTATCGTGGTTACAAAGTCGCAACTAGATTTATTTTGTACGTGCGCTGATCTATCTGTGAATCTGATATATTTTTATACATGTATCAGCTGTTATAATTCATATATCGCTGGTGGTATAATTATAGCCTGCAGGTCTGTCAACACGTCCGTTCGATTAATAGCAGTGACATCCTATGCTTGTACGGCAATTTAATAGACAATTGTCAATGAAACAACCAAAATGTGTGCCCTGGCTTAAATGTTCAGGTCATAAAATTGAAAACACATTTCTAGACTTTCCACAAGTCTACGCTTTCGCCACAAGTCAGAGATTGGAGAAAAGTGAGACTCGAGGACTTTGGACTCCAGTGGCGTGAGCTAGCGGCCATGCTTATATAGTCAATAAGACAATATAGTCATGCTGGGCATGGCAAATATTTTCCCCCAAATTTGAAAATATGCATTATACTTCTTGTCTTCTTGCAAAAGATATACCTTGACTTATAGTTGCGCCGAGTTTACGACACTTCGCTTCCATTCAGTGAAATTTGTTTTTATGTTAACCGATATCTTGATTCAGTTTCACGACATAAAAATTAAGGTAAAACAACAGTCGCAGCTAGTAGACAGTAGGTTATTAATAATACGCAATTTTGTTGCATCATGCACTGGCCTTAGCCAAGAAACACTAGATTCTGATGGATAATTATCGCTCGCGCATGCCCAGCATTTTAAATCTTAAATAATCACATTTTATTATATACTAGAGAGTGAAATCGGTGAGATACTGAGAAATACACAGTGAGATATTTTCCATATCTTCACTATCAAACAGAACATTACACGGTGGCTTGAAGATATGACTTTTATCTTCTCGTGAAAAACAATATTTTACGGCGCTCGTTCGTAAAATATTGTTTTAACCACTCGAAGATAAAAATCATATCTTCGCGCCGCCGTGTAATATCCTCTCTATATTAAATGATTTATTTTAGCTTTTGATATGATATAAAACAAAATAAACCGGCCAAAAATACACAATAACAACATTTAATTCGTGGTACCGACATTTAGTTTACTTTCGTATAGTCACGTGTGCACAGCAATGGTGGATGCAAATTCCGAAAACACTATAGCTAGGACAGCTAGGGATGGGCGATACCAGCTTTTTCATTCGATACGATATTTGCTCGATATTTGCCGTTTTTTTCCGATATCGATATTTTCCCAACTTGAAATCATTAACAACGGCCACAACGCTAACAATATAAACATTGAATAATATATGTCAGTGATTGCAACCAACATAACCAGAAACTCCCATCCTTCCCGTGGACCATTATAGCACCATAGAAAATGAACTATTTACGCCTATTTAGGCTTTTTGGTATCACTTTCATGATGATGCCGCTGACCAAAATGAAAAATATCGCGGGCGCAGAAATATCGAAACATCGATATTTCTTGCCAGTATCGATACTTTTCTTCAAAACCCTGGTATCGATAGTATCGAGTATTTGGTATCGATATCGGCCCATCCCTAACTATAGCTAGTCTATTCGATGTTGCATGCATGAAATTCTGTATAAACAGCCCCTAATTAACCGAACGGAGACATTCGCCCTTCAATACGATTTTTGTTCTTGTGAATATTTTTTGTGTTAGATAGAGCAAAAACATTGGCCAGGGCCTCTCTGATATGTTACAATGTCGTTTTCTGACCATCAGAATTCTGTAAAATCTCTCCCCAAAGTCCAGGAAATGGCATTTCAGAGAATTTAGATTCGAACATATTCCGGGTGAGCATGCCCTGGAAAACTCGTGCATATACGGCGCTCGACTCGTGCCTTTGGCACTTCTATTAGGGGGCCTTCGAAAATTTTGAACTGGGAGCCCCCTGATATAACGTTACGCCACTGTGACAAGTATGAACAACGTGGGCAGCAAAACATTGTTCTATCCTGTTGAGCAGCGGGCTCGGCGTTTTTTGCCGTGTACTATAGTCAGCTGGTCAGTAACATTACGGATACCGATTACTCTTGTAGCAACCAAAGGTCCAATACGCATATATGATGTCACATGATACCGTGGCAATCTGGACCGCGAGCCCGGGTAGCTAAACTAGTGGCAATCCGGTACCTGACTCGTTCCCAGTCCCTCGCGTTGGATGATGGGAATGGGTTCAACGCCTAACCCGCGACTGGGCATATGCTCCCGTACTAAAATATAACGATGGACTGTGGGAAGAGTCAGATCCGATACGTCCCTAAATCACTCTGCCGCTCTGGCACTGTAAGAAAATAAATCCGGCACTAGACTTGCCATGCTGCAGCATCTTCAGAAAGGAATTTCCTAATCCTCAAAATGTTGTGCAAATGAAAAAACGCTGCTTTACAAGTGGCAGTGATGTGAGGGACAAAAGAAAGTGATTCTTCGAATGAAACGCCAATGTTCTTGATTAACGAGGAACATTCCAGTGATTCCACTGCGTGACCAGAAACTGATAGCACATGAAGTGGTGGCCTAGGGCGACAGGGGGAAGAGAAAACAATCAGATCAGTCTTTCCATTATGCAAAAACAATCATTCACTCCTTGGTCACGTCACGATTACTGCAATTCGATACTATATGGACAACCGAAATATGCTATCGGAAGACTTCCGTATGTTCAAAAGGGTGCGGCTAGAATCATCTATCAATGCAAAAAGTATGAGCATGTAACACCTTTGTTCAAAAGTTTGCATTGACTGCCTATTGAACAAAGAGTTAAATTTAAGATCTTGGTCATCACTTTTAAGGCACTCCATGGATTGGCACCATCATATATGAACTTTTTAGGAATAGCGCTATATAAATGTAAATTTATTATTATTATTATCTAGAACGTACTGATTTCATTCAAGCCCTCAAGCCTGATTTTCCGCATATCGATCGTATTTACTCGTTAAATTAAACGTCGATATACGAATAAGCGCCACACTCGAATAAGTGCCGCACTTATTTACAACAAAGCGGCGCTTAATCGGAGTATGAGTTACCAACCGGAGAATTATCCCGGAGAGTTATGATAATATAATTTCGGAGAGTTATGTTCAAACCACGCCCACTTTCCCCAAATCTTCGAAATCATAACTCTCCGAGATAACTCTCCACTTCATAACTCTCCATTTAGCGTGTCCCGCTTAATCGAATCGAATCACCATCTGAAAAAATGTTCGTGACGCCCAACCGGCAGAGGGAAATTAAAACGCCAAAATGTATGAATTTAATACATTTTGAGGAGTTAAATGTTTCCACTTCAGTAGTTTATTGTTATTCGGCAATAGCCCCACCCCCGGGATTAGGAAAAGCTGCGAATGCCGGGGGGGGGGGATGGGCACTGCTGGATTTGACCTGTGATTTCTTAGTCTATTAACTGTGATTTGACTGACACCTAGCCTGCGTAGCAGACGGTTTTTAGGGACACCAGGCCAGCTGATGCATAAGGCTTTGAGGTATTCGGTAACATATCACAGGTCCCCTAATGTAAACACAGCCAGTTTATAGTATGCACTCGGTACTACAGACAACTGTAATAAACCGGCCTCTGGAAAGAAATACGTAACACTGTGACAGCAGATTCCACAAACCATCAAATCCAGCCAAGCTACAGTACGTACGTAGGGCATTGCTATTTCAGGTAAATATCCAGCATTCCCGTCGACTTTGTGTGTAAACTGTAAATTAGATAATTAATTTTTGGATATTTATCATGTAACGATGGCTTGACTACAAAATTATTGTAGTTAAATGTAGTCAACTACTACATTCTACAACTACTTGACAACTCGCTACTTATAGCTACTGACAATAATATATAGGAAGTATAGCTACTGCTGTACTGCATGTCATTTAAAAAATGTAGCGAACTATTCGCTACTTCCTACAACAATATATCCTGCTACCACATTTCCCGAATATGTTCTTCTAATTTGTGATTTGAACGGGCAAGAAAGATGGTAAATAGACCTGAAGCAGCAAAAATCATATACGTATACCACAGTATGAAAGGTTAAGGTATAGACTATACTGTAGTATATCAATCTCTGTCACAAACGCGGCAAGCATATATGGATCATTCGTCAAGACGAAGTATGCCATGACCCATGGCCATGCACGCACGGTTTGCACGAGCTCCGTAAAATTCCAATTTTATGACAAAAATTTTATAATATCTTGCTATAATCCTTTATAAATATGATGAGTGAACTCCAGTTGTGCTGGACTGGAAATATTGAACAACTAAAACATTTCGTGAACGAAAATATCAAATTAAACGACGGTAATTGGATTTCGCCGGGAGGAGACAAAAAAGTATATAGCGATGGTACTACATCTATATCATGGCGAAAAAGTAAGAAAATTCTACAAATTGAAGTAGCGTACAGACTAACATAGTGACAAACGAAGCTGCAGCTACAACTACAAGCGACGAAAATGGCGTCTCCCCTCTCACAAGACAAATCTTGTCTGTCGAACTTGAAGGCGCTAAACTCGACATAACAATTGCAGAAAGGGATATTCTCATAAACAAGATATTATAAATAATGTTGATAACCGCCTTAACAAAATAAATGCTGAATTTGACGATTTTAGTCAACAACTTGAATATTGCAAGAAAGAAATTTATATGTTACGCAGCGGTCATATTTGAATATTCTAATTTGGCAGACAAAAATCACTCAAGTGAAAAAAGTGATTGTCTTGATAAAATAACTAGCACAACAGATTCAGCTATAAATGTACAGGGTGTCCCAAAAAAAAGTGACACTATAGAAATTTTCCTATTGTTATAATTTGAATGCCCTAGCACTAAGTTGATCCCACAGGTGCATAAACTTCTGCTTCCGGAATTTAAAATAAAAAAGCAAACCGTTTATTAGTGTAATCGTTTTGCTTGACTCGGGCGTTAAAATATTTGGACAAAGCGAAAACGTTTAATTAAAATGCTTAAATGTAAATACAAGTTCCATTAAATTCCCAGGCGTGTAATCACGCGCGTTTAAGAGCGGCTTAAGAACAATGAGAAAATTTCTATAGTGTCACTTTTTTTTGGGACACCCTGTAGAATCACATTCTAAAGCACGGGAAAATCAAGTCAACCAACCTACCAAAAATACCATTCCTTGTCCTTTCCTGTCACGAAGGGGTTGGTGTCTTAAAGGCGAAAATTGTGACTTCCTTCACCCAAACCTTGAACGAAACCAGCGCAATTGTGATTTTCTACATCCAAGTTTAAATCGAAACCAACACTATCGTCCTTTTTTATTCCCAATTCAACCGAATGCTTGTCAAATCATACGACGCCCCAAGCACCCCCCTTACCCCCGACCATTGATGGAGTTTCCCTTCCTTTTACCACAATTACCACCCATCAGACAAGAAAATCTGGTCAATCGTTTGACGCGCCCCACGCATCCATAGAGCAGTACGACCGACAAAGCATTTCATATACTGACCCCGTAGCTGATCAAATACCTAGAACAAATAATATCCCAGTTTGGACAACTAGACGGCAAATTAACTTGCATAATCGTTTAAACAGTACCCCTGCATACACAGAACGAAAGGTCCGTAACCACGAAAAATTTGATAAAAATTCCTATATTGAACCATAAAAATTGGAGACTAGGTTGCCCAAATGCCCAAAGATACCCACTATCATTTTTCCTTTCAAATGTCAGATCACTTCTGCCGAAAGTTGATGAATTAGATGCTATTCTTAAATTAAATCATGCCAGTTTGGCTTTTATCACAGAAACATGGCTAAACGAAAACATTGACGACGCCGCAGTTCAAATACATGGCTACTCCTTGATACGTCGTGATAGAAAATCTATAGGACTGGAGGAGGGGTGTGTGCTTATATAAAGTCACAGATCCCCTTTAAAATTCTAACTTGTTTGCAAGATGTTTGTTTCGAAACTCTGTGGCTTTACCTGAGACCTCACAAACTGTTCCGAGGATTCTCATGTTTGGTTGTCTGTGTGGTTTACCATACAGCGACAACAACACACTAATCGAACACCTTACCATAAAGCTTGATGTTGCCCTCTCCATGTACCCAAATGCTGGCATAATATTAGTTGGGGATTTTAACAAATGTCCAGTTTCCACAATACTCAGACATTTTACTTTAAAACAGATTGTTAAACAACCTACGAGATCGAGGGAATGCTATTTTGGATTTAATTTTGACAAACATGTCAGACGTTTGTAACATCCCCTTGGTAATCCCACCCGTTGGGCGCAGCGACCACAATTCAGTGTTATGCTCATATAAGGAAGGTTCAACTAAAAACGCCCACACGAAAGTAAAAATCAGACAGGGAAATAATGCTGCAAAAACTGCTTTTGGAAAGTGGTTAACCGATTTTAATTGGACCATTTTATACCGCACTATTTCTTGTGAACAAAAATTAGACCTCTTCCAAGACATCATAAATGCCGGATTGGATTGTTTCCTTCCGATAAAAACTGTAAAATTACATGATAATGACAAACCTTGGGTAACTCCTGAATTTAAGAAAATTATCGGAACCAGACAAAAGGCATTCCATCATGGAAAAAGTCCACATTATCAGCAGTTACGAAATCAGGTAAACAGAGAAAGTAAGAAGCTCAGATCCACATTTCTTGAGAAAAAGTTAGAACAGTTAAAGCTAAACCCTAACCCAAAAAAGTGGTGGCAATCAATAAAACAGTTATCAGGATATCCTAAGAAGAAAGTTCTTTCAACTCTTGTCGTGGGAAATCAGGTGATGTCAGGAAAAGCCCTGGCCGAAAATATTAATGACGCTTTTGTTTCAGTTACCAAAGAAATCCCTCCTTTAAATCGTCTTCATATCGACATTTTACCAGAAAACAGCCATTATGACATTTCACCAGAGTTTATCATTAAAGAAGAAGAGGTATACCATAAATTATCCATTATATCAACTGCTAAATCTCCTGGTCCAGATGGAATACCAAACTGGGTTCTGAAGTTCTACGCTTATGTACTTGCTTCCCCTGTTGCATCAATTTTTAATGCTTCCATCCAACAAGCGACTGTTCCGACCATGTGGAAAAAAGCCAATGTCATCCCAATTCCAAAAATAGCTTCGCCTGAGGACATCACCAAAGATCTTCGCCCCATTTCGCTTTAACACCTACCCTGTCTAAAACCTGTGAACAGTTTGTTACCGATTGGCTACTTGAGTATATAAAGGAAAAGATTGATAGACGACAATTTGGTTCCTTAAAAAACTCCTCGACAACTCATGCCCTATTAAGCTTCGTTCATCACCTGTTATATGAAACTGATACATCAAAAACCGCTGTAAGGTTTTTTTGCTCGATTTTTCGAAAGCTTTCGATCTTATAGACCACAACATTCTACTGTACAAGTTATATGAAATGAAGGTACCAGCGACAATTACAAACTGGATTAAAAGTTTCCTTTTTGAACGCAAACAACGCGTCAATCATGCTAACTGTGTATCAAATTGGCAAACTTTAAACGGAGGTGTGCCACAAGGAACAGTTCTTGGGCCAATACTTTTTCTCGTTATGATAAACGACCTTCTCACAGACTGGAATAACATATGGAAATACGTCGACGATAGTACTATCACTGAAAGTATTACACCGGATATCAATAGCATTCTCCAAGAACTTGTGGATACTATTTACAATTGGACCATCGTTAATAATATGAAACTGAACATCAGTAAATGCAAAGAATTGATAATAGACTTTGCAAAAGATAAACAGGAATTCCCACCTTTAATTATAAATGGCGTTGCTGTAGACCGTGTATCATCAGCTCGGGTTCTGGGACTAATTGTTCAGGATAATATGAATTGGAACGAACACGTAAACAATGTTGTCAAAAAAGCAGGAAAAAGACTCTACATGCTGAGATCAGTGCTGAAACGATCAAACGCGGATACGAACACGTTAATCACTGTGTACACCACTATTATTAGGCCTGTCCTTGAATACGCCTGCCAAGTCTGGCATTTCAACATCCAAGAGTATTTGAGCGAAGACATTGAAAAGATTCAGCGGCGTGCTTTGCGAATCTCGTTGCCATTAATGAGTTACAGAGAAACCCGGAATTTTACTGGTATCCCTTTACTAAAAGCAAGGAGAGAAACATTATGTGAACAATTTTTTAAAAAGAATGAGAATAACGATAAACTAAGCGAACTATTGCATCATAAAGCAACAGCAGACTACGATATGCGACCAAGATGCAAGTATAACAATTATCTATGTAGAACTGAACGTTTTAGGAAATCGTTTTTTCCTCAAATTATTTCCAAAGAAAACAGTAAATAACTGAGTAGAAGTATAGACCTATTGTTTTTTGCTACTTTTGAACTCTTAATATTCTTAATAATGTAATCTAACGATAACTTAATACTTTTTAACAGTAGATACAAATTTTGTAAATTTCTGATGTAATTTAACCTATTGGTTACAAAATCAGTTTTAAATAAATTATAAATAAATTATAACACTGTCAACTTCCTACACAGACATGCGTACCTTCAAGATTGTCTGCCTTTTCGTATATAGGGGCGCTTTCCATTTAATGGCCTGACCGGTCAGACCCGAATTCTTTTCTCTGTATCAATGGAAAAATCTGGTCTGTGTTTCTCAAATATCTGGCGAAAATGGACCTCATTCTAATGTTATCTAAATTTTCCGGTCAGATAGATCCGAAGCCCAATTGTTTTGTGTTCAATTCAACAATTCAACATTTTGACCGTTCTGACCAGTCTGGCCGTGTTAATGGAAAGCGCCCATGAATACAACCTCAGACAAGCTTTTGGGACTACTCAGTTAGCTGCTATCGCTGGCTAACGTATCGCACTGAGCTACTAACTTACTGACGTTACTACTGAGAGTTGAGTCCGGATCAAACGAGGACGAGAGTGCATGCATGAGTGCAGTCACGCGATCTTGGTTGACTTGAATGCTTTTAAGCATTAAAAAATAATATAATAATAATTAGCCTGCGTAGCAGTCGCTTTATTTTATTGAAGGTTTTGAGGATTTTTGAATAAATGCATTTATTCAAAAATCCTCAAAACCTTCAATAAAATAAAGCGACTGCTACGCAGGCTAGTCCGTAACTAATGTAAACAAATCCTTTGTTTACATTTTGAACTGCTATATTTGTAAAACTAGAAGTTACTATCGCAAGGGAAGTGCTGCCTCACCCCCAAGGGATCAAAGGCAGCATGCTCAATTTGCTGAATAAGGGCTGTTTTTATGATCCCGCTTTGCCAGGATGAGATATGATGCGGGATGATTTAGATGTATTTAAATAAGTCACGGTGCACACTTCAGCAAAAAACTTCATTATTTCCGAGAGATAGCAATAGTTACCTGTAAACTGAAAGGTTGTTTAATTAAGCAGCAATAATAATCTTCTTGAACTACAAGATCTGCTGTACAACATTTGAGTTCTGCATTTGAACTTTCGTTTAGACTATGGACGTATTTCAATACATCAAAATCATCCCACATTCCATCATGTAAACAGCCCCTAAGATGCCTGTTCAGGAGGTAGGAAAAGTGCAATTTGAATACCAAACACCTTGCACAAAGTCAAATGTCAGCTAATATTCTAATTCTACTTTCTTGGCATGGGCGATTTTATATGAATTCCTTCTATGCTTATAACTTCTTGCTTTTTGTATGCATAATTATAATACTGTCAGTACTGGTGAAGTTAGCCGTAGTAACAGGTCGTGCGATGGTTTTTAATAATTTGCATTGCAGGTCTATTAGCATACCATGACCAGTTGCCATGGCTAGCTTGCCACTCAATACTGTACAATAATAGTCATAATACCATGTGTATAAACAATAATAATATTTGAATGAATCGATCATTGGACATGTAGAATTTAATAATAATTTCATATATAGAAATACTAAGTCAGTTTTTGTCCCAATTATTGTTTTAATAATTTAATGGCACCTTCAAGGCTATCCCTATTGCAGAACAACTGAACAATCTGCTGAATGCTGATGGGAGACAAAATCTATTTGTTGACATTTATGTTTAATACGTCAGCTTCAGATGACACCATTCATTTGTAAAGACTAAGATTGTACACAGTCAGAACTGCAAAACTATATAAGAAAGAAATTGTGAGCATTATCAAAAAATATAGTATATCCTGAAATGTGGTGGTGACACAGCGAGGTGAATACATGAATGAAGGCTGGTAGGATTATTTCCTATTGTGCTAACAATGGACAGTCTGACCATCATACCTTGTAACTGCTGGTTAGTTAATATATGCAGACAACAATCCATACAGGGTTGCTATAGGAATATGTGTGTATTAGCCTATACATAGTCATACATATTTAATAAATAAATGCACCCATGGCTATGAATGTTTAGCTCCACGGTTAAGATAATTTAACTTTAAATACATTTAATTTATTAATGTAGCATATTCATCACAAACTCTATGTATTTAAACGCAAAATGTTGTGTATACACATGCACCTCTTAAAGAGGTGTTTAATAGTGTACGAAAATATATATATTATTGAAATCAGTAGACCGCGACACCCCCACTTTTTTGGCATCCCGCGCATTTCGTTTCAAAGTCTTCACGTGATATCTCGTATGTACTACATGACCAGCTAAATGTTCAACCGCTCTTGAAAAAATATAGGTCCGCATTGTGCTGAAGTGTATGCTACTATTTTACAAGATCGAGATCACATTTTCGGTAAAAGATAGCTCATAAATATATATTTATGGGACTCTAAAGTGGAGAAATCGTGGTGAATATTTCCAATTAAACAAATATATTTCATATATTTTGTTGCTTGACCTTCGTTCGGACGTCTGTGACCTTGTTTACGTTTGAATAAATTGACAGTTGAGTAACGAATTTCTGAAGTTAAATTCCTAACTACGCACCTGATTGAACAATAAAATTAGAAACCAATTTAATTAGTTTACCTGTCACACTGTCAAATTGAAACTTGCAGTTTTTCACACACACACACATATATATATATATATATATATATATATATATATATATATATATATATATATATATATATATATATATATATATATATATATATATATATAAAATTCGCACTGTGAATTGAGCTTAATTAGAAGAAAAGAAAAAATCGAGCAAATTGACATACAGGTACCTCTAAACGATCTCCCTTTCTCACAAAACTTGAATATAAGGCCAGTTTTATTATGCAAAGTATGTCTTTGCTTCGCTCCTGACCTCGTGTTAAAATGCTACAAAGCTTGCTGATCGAAATATTTTTAAACGCCATACTTGGTACGGTCGTTCGCAGTCGCTGAACATTCGGCAGTCATCGATTTGCTATTGTGAACTCCTGAGGTATGATAATACTCCAATGTAAATTCCTTACTGCTATATCATAATTTGACGTCACAACTGCCGACAAACACTTGAACGACACAAAATCGAGATACGCTTCAAGTTTATAAAACTGTTGGCGGGAAATTCAAATGCGCTATAACACATCGTCAAGAATAGGAGGCTGCAGCAATAAGACCAGGGCTGTAAATACTCGTTACAATTGTAACGCGTTACTGCATGTGTACTCGTTACATTTGAAGTAATTTTAACCTGTAATTAATTACGTTTTTAGAAATGTAACGAAAAACGTAATTAATTACAAAAGCAAGGAACGTGTTCCTTTTCCAAGGAGCAAATTGAAAATTCCTTTTCTTATTTTGTAAAAATAAGAAATAAAAAAATACAACGTATACGACAAGAATTCAGAAAAATGACTGAACTAATTTTCAACGAGATATCACATGACATGATAGCCTACATGATTAAGTAGTACTGTTTATTGCGAAAGTAGAAACCACAATTTGTTCCGAGGCTCAGAGCGCCAAATATTGGCAAAAAAAGTTTTAAGTTTACATGCGGCTTCGATTTGCATGTCAAATATTTTAATATATTGGAATATCATCTTGATAAATTCTTGCAAATTTCATAGTTTATACCGTTTTTATTTACAACTACTGTTTAAGATATTGCCTTATAGTAACAATTTGCCGGTAAAGGAATTTGTAATTAATTCCTTTTTTCCGGAGTAATTTTTTCATTGTACTTAATTACATTTTAGAACAAGTAATTGTAATCAGGAATTTATTACATTTTAAAGCAAGTAATTGTAATTGGAATTAATTCCTTTTTCAGCGGTAACTTTGCAGCCCTGAATAAGACACACTAACTGAATATCTAACACTTTTCTGGTTCGCTATTGTAAATGAATATGAACTAGATGGTACGTTTCAATTCAAAAAAGTTCGAAAGATGCAACATTTGGGCAATGTTTATATCTGTCCCCTTTTGTTATGGGCAGAACTGATGCGCAGAACGGACTTGACATGGTCTTTAACTATTACCGTATTCTATTTAAGTTACAACATAGTTGAAACACTAATCAAACGTTTATTTTGTTAACTTAAAATGACCCCCATAGCTGCCAACTCTTACTCTCTGCGTGTCATGCGTGCAGGGGCGCACATTCCAAAACAATTTGGGGGTGTTCTATGTTCAGGGACAGACTTTTTTATTGTTTGTGTTTGATAAGAACAGCTGTTGAACTATACACTGCCACATACCTCGCTAACCTCGCTTCCATTTATTAGAACGTAGACAAATTTCTCCAAAATTTCCGATAGACACATAGACGGGGATATAGTATTCCAAGAGTAAATAAACATTCAGTTTTTCCGAACTTCTGCTCTAAACATTTGGGTCCCCCAAATTATTATGTATTTCATGTAATTCGAGCGCCGAAGGCGCGAGGAAAATTTTGAATTTCTAGATTCATTAGAACCTTACGCTATTTCACGTATTTTAGGACGAGGTTTGAAGAAAAGTTACAACCACAAAAAGGCATTTTTAAGTCGCCTAATTTTGTTAGATTTAAAAAATATTTATGTAAATAAATTATGCAAATACGTTGTACTGCCCCGCTCTTGGCTACGCCACTGAACTTCTAGAAGCCTTTCAAAGTTTCAGACTTTCATTTTGTGCGACAAGACAAACAATGCGCGTTTTGACTGCACCGAGGGGGCTTGAGGCAATCTGATCGCATTACGTTTACAGTCAGTTTCTTGCTACATGATCTTTATATTGTCTATCCCTATTTCGGCAATGACATAAAACGAACTGATATCGTTTAGTTAATATCCAACCATTTCCATTCCTTTTTTATATCTAACTTATTTTTTAGACTTTTCTATGATGATTCTGGAGATTGTAACAACCTTGTTTCTTGTTTCATTTGTCTGGTATTTTGTGACAACATTCTTGGAAAGACGGTCAATGCCCCCCGGACCGTTTCCTTACCCTTTGATTGGAAACCTACCAGAATTGGATCAGTCCAGTAAACCATTTAAAAAGCTCAAACAGAAATACGGAAACATCTTCACCGTAACTTTTATAGAAAACACTGTTATTGTGAACACTGCCTCGCTAGCTCGAGAAGCTAGACTTGACAATAAAGACGGTGTGGTTGGTGTATCACCTAAAGCAAGTTATCCCTTTAATATCATAGTGGGTTCAAATGATGTCGTATTCGCGGATTATGGAACACCCTACTTGTTTCGTAAGAGAGTATTCAAGTCAGCAATGCATGTTTTTGGAGCAGGTATAAATAAAGCAGAAGAAAGAGGAGGCCACGCAGTGAATTGTACGTTGGAAAAGATAGAATGTTTGAAAGGTCAGCCGTTTTCTCCCAAGGAACTGATCGCGTCAGCAATACTGATTCAACTTTGGCAATGGCTTACATCTCAGAAAGTTTCACTTGATGACCCAACAATAAAGCTCCTTCTTGAATTTGGTGAAATAACTGCAAATCAACGTGTTGACGATGCTTTCTTCTACCAGAAAATACCATTCCATTCCTATCTCCCAACGGAGTTTAATCGACGCATAAAGCGAGCTAAAGATATAAAATCCGCAATTTTTCCTCCGGTGTTCCAATCCCACATGGAGACCTACACTTCAGGCGTTATTCGTGACATGACTGACAGTTTTATCAGTGCTTATAAGAAGGAGATGGCGAAAGAGACGGGTAAAGATATTGGATCTATAAACGATATCCCAGCTTTAATGTTAGATGTTACTACTGCCGGTTCAGATACAACATCTTCTTCAATGGCTTGGTTTATATTATACATGGTTCTATATCCTAACATTCAAGAAAAAGTCCATGATGAGCTTGATCGAGTCATAGGCGATGAGTTGTTACCTCGATGGCAAGATGGCAAGAACATGCCCTATCTGCAAGCCACGATATGTGAAGTTATGCGTAGGTCTAGCCCTGTACCAATGACTGGTTCAAATGCAACACGGGACATAACTCTTGGTGGATATCATATTCCTAAAGAAACGATAGTAGTTTTCGATTTAACCGAAATTCACCACGACGAACACGAGTGGCCGCAGCCTGAGGAATTTAAACCAGAGCGCTTCCTGGACGGTGAAGGCAACTTTGTTGGTTGGAATAAATTTAATTCTTTTCTACCATTCGGTCTTGGTCGAAGAGAATGCGGTGGCATTGCGTTCGCAAAAATTATGTTGTTTACGTTTGCGGCAACGCTATTACATCGCCTTAGGTTTGAGTTACCAGAGGGAGCTGAAAAGCCGAACGAAGAACCATCGAGTGTTAAACTCGTTTCTTCGCCAGTAGATTTCAAAGTTGTAGCAAGAAAACGACGTTAAAAAACAAATCTGGACACCACTACTCGCTCTCACGTAGAATCACAGATCACTTAAGGAAATAAGATAAAATGTAAAACGTAATGAATTTTATAGTAGCGTCAGTTTGAAAATATGTTCAGCAAATCTTTAATTAGTATAGAAAACAATATTCCTTCTCCTTGAGTCTGTAATTTTTTTAATAATTATATAAATTGAAGGATTTTAATGTGTAGTTGCGGGGTCTAGGATTTCAATAAGGATAGAAAAGCTCAAGCTGCGCCTTCTGGTGCTTTTGGTTGGAACTGAAAAAGATTTAAATGTTTTAAACGTACAACTCAGATGGTCCAACCAAAACCACCTAAACGTATTGTACCACAGCACCAACGTTTCACATACTCTTGTATAGTCTTGGGATCTGGTGCCTCATGCAAAATTGTCGATTAAGACCACCCGTGCATGGGCGTATTTATTTCAGCCTTTTTCAGGTATGTTGAAGAGGGGCTTATAGTGGAGATGGGGCTTAACAGAGAGGGCCGGGTACGTAGGAGAGTAAAATACACGCCGCAGTTAAAGAACGCCACCCTCGTACGAGCGCCTCACTCGCCCACAACATCTTACAGTAGATCTCAATCTTTAATCAGCCTCGGAATTTTTCTCCTCTATTACAGTGCTTTGAGGTTAAAGTGAGTATATTTTAACGCACTTTCATTTAACTTGCTGACTCGTAATTCGATGCTCTCATTTATTAACTTGCTCTTTTGTGTTGCGAAGGCAGATAACCGCTTCAAATCTAACTTCTCCCTATTTCCATGCAGTGACTTTAATTAATCTTTAATTAATCTTCAGTTAAAAATCTTTACAAATACGGTAGCCTTTCAGTATAATATTTACAGTCTGATTTCCAAAGGGTCATGTTAAATACTATGTACTGTTTAAGCCTGGTTCACATAAAATCTTTAAGCAGTCGCAGACAGTCGCAGACATGTGCCGAATTTTTATTTGAACACAAATGCAGATTCGCGCAGACTGTCTGAAACCGGATCGGCGACGGATCGGGAAAGTTGAACTTGGTTCAACTTTCCCGATCCGTCGCAGATCGTTCATATAAAAATTCGGCACATGTCTGCGACTGCTTAACGATTTTATGTGAACCAGGCTTTAATAAACGAGCAGGAGTGTTTTCCCGATTAGGTTTAAAGTCATGAGCGCGCAGCGCGAGTGGCTTTAAACCTAATAAAACACGACCTGCGAGTCAATAGATATACCGCCTTATTAGTATTCTTTATATAAAAAATACTAATGAGGACACGACAACAATAGATACTGCCTTATTAGTATTCTTTATAATTTTATATAAAGAAAACTAATTAGGAGTATTTTATCAGGTTTAAAGCCACTGCACGTGACATATTATGGTTGACATGATTTGCCAATAAGCTTATGAATTATTAATGAGTTTTGAAATATATTTTAAAAACATGTAAATTATAGTAACAAAATAATTGAACTGTATGCATTAAATTACGCCGGCGAAATACAGTATAGGGGTTATGAATAAGAAGGTTCATGATCGCTGCCTAAAATGCGAAGAGATTATAGAATTACCACTGAACATTGTGGTGGTCAATGAAATATTCCTTACTGTCAAAACGGAAATACCTGCACACTGCACTTACTGTAGTTTGTTGTGTAATACTGTCTTTCTGTAGCTCGGAAAAATTTACTGACAAGAAGCCGCTTATTCTTGACTTATGTTTGTTTGTTAGCATTATTTTGGATGGAATATGCATTGGCTAATCAATAAATTCCATAGCAGCCACTAGTTATATCTTAATGCACGATTTTTGAACAAAAATTGTTTCAGCAACTAGAGAAAGTACAGTCTTACACAACAAACTACACAAGTGGAAGTGTGCAGGTACTTCCGTTTTGACTGCAAGTGAATTTAAACTGGGGCGCTTCAGCACCCGTTACAGTTTTCACAGGGGTATATGCCTTGGTTAAAAAGCGTGAGCTTTTTTTCAACGGCAAGTAGTTCAATTATGCTAATTTGCCGGTGATTTTAGCCCCAACAAAGTCGTACAAACGGACCAAAACCGATTATGGAGCATTTTTTTTTGCAGCATTTTTGTAGTCTAGATTCAGAGCCCAAGAAATGGCTTTTTTTTTTAAGGCCAAACTTTTCCTTTTTTCCCTTCTAATTTTAAATATATTTTCGCTACTGCTGTTACAGTTGGATCTTGTTTTTCCTGCATGCCGTGTTGCATGAGTAGCTGTGATCGACAGTACCCAACTTAGCCGAAAATTAGTCCTCCCTCCAAGAAAATAAAACTCGTTCCGCCGCCACTGATGGTACCTGCAACACAGTCTATTTATTACACATAATGGAGCACACTGAAATAGGGCAGCGCAATTTAAACCGTTGTTTCGTTGTTTTCTTCATTAACAACAATAGGATAAATTTCTATAGAGGGTACTTTTTTTTGGGACACCCTGTAGAGCACCTTTTCAAACCGTTGTTTCGTACACCAGTTTTGTTTTTGACTCAATGTCACTTTCAGATATCAAATTGTTCCTGTCAGCAATCAATTCACAAGGTACCTCTTCTTTACCACGTTTACTCTTTTCTACCAACGAAAGTTCTTTGTCAACCCTTACATGTGAGCTGATAGTCAGCATAAGTGCTGCTAATAAAGACATCCCAAACGCAGTGTAAAATACGTAACGAAAGTCATCAGTTTGATCAAAAATCCAACCTAAAATAAAGAATATAATAAGTAAATTGTATACAAATTAATCGGGAAACACATTAAAAACCAACACGTTGATAAAGCGTGGCGACCTGGGACCAGTTGTACGAAGGCGGGATAGCGCTATCCACCGGATACTGATTTTTTCAAGCTTTGTTAAATCAGTCGTTGATTGGTATAACTCGTATTAAAGTTTAGTATTTAAAAGTTAATATATACATTAACTTTAAGTTAATGTATACATTATAAAGTTAATTATACTTCTTATGTCGTCTATATCCGTAGTTTCGCAGTTTTTCAAGCATTTTTTCAAAGGTTGAAAAAATCTATCCGGTGGATAGCGCTATCCGGCCTTCGTATAACCGGCCCCTGTTGTGTAAAACTGCATGATTGTGGCTACAATATTGATTGCCTACTGTACATGGTTTTTCAGGCTGCGTTTACACTATAACGCTAGCATGTCGTTCAAAATTAACTACGTTTCTTAGTATTGTGTATGTGATACTCGATATTTCTGTTTATAAATCTCGATTGACCAGTAGTCTAGCATCCGAGTAGCATGGTGTTTGACCTCCACATGCACCCAGTCGTTGATTGGTATAACTCGTATTAAAGTTTAGTATTTAAAAGTTAATATATACATTAACTTTAAGTTAATGTATACATTATAAAGTTAATTATACTTCTTATGTCGTCTATATCCGTAGTTTCGCAGTTTTTCAAGCATTTTTTCAAAGGTTGAAAAAATCTATCCGGTGGATAGCGCTATCCGGCCTTCGTATAACCGGCCCCTGTTGTGTAAAACTGCATGATTGTGGCTACAATATTGATTGCCTACTGTACATGGTTTTTCAGGCTGCGTTTACACTATAACGCTAGCATGTCGTTCAAAATTAACTACGTTTCTTAGTATTGTGTATGTGATACTCGATATTTCTGTTTATAAATCTCGATTGACCAGTAGTCTAGCATCCGAGTAGCATGGTGTTTGACCTCCACATGCACCCAGCCATAAAATTAGTTTCTCCCCCAATCTACTCGTCAGTTGAATTTCTAATTGAAACATCCAATTTATACTCGATTTTATCACGAAGGTCAAGTAAATATAAGCGCGCCAATATCACCCCCGTCTTTAAAAAAGAAGATCCAACACTGTCATCCAACTACCGACCAATTTCTCTTCTTTGCGTGCTGTCCAAGGTCCTGGAACGTTGTGTTCATTTTCATTCCTATCACCATCTAGCACCTCTCATCTATGAGATGCAACACGGTTTCGTTAGGGGCAAATCTACAACAACACAACTGTTGGAGGTATATCATGACATCTTGGAATCTGTGGCTAGTGGCAAGGAAGTTGATGCCACTTACCTCGATTTATCGAAAGCATTTGATAAAGTACCACACAGTCTGCTCTTGCATAAACTCGAGAATTATGGGATTGGAGGTTCTCTTAGCCTGCGCAGCAGGCGGTAGAGAACGGGAAGCTAGAAATACCGCCTGCCCAAAAACTACACATTCTGAGTTCCGCCCACCGAACGCATGGTTCCGCCCATCTTAATGTTTTATTTGTCAAACTCACGTATTGCATTTGCACCAATGCACCAGTGCAAATATACGGCTTTGACGTTTCGTATCTTCGGTTCATTCAATGCTATGAAGACAAAAATACCTCGTTCGATTCAGTGTGACAATATGTCCTTATTCACAGCGATAGTTTTAGTCGATGTCAACATTATAGCGATTTATGAGCTTTGAAAGTCAAGCGAGTTCGTATATTATCAAATTACGCAATTGTCTGAACAAAAATATAAGACTAGCCATACCTTTCGCCGAACATAACTTCGGCCCCTTCGGACGTAACTTCTTTGTAATAGTCTTGTTCCAATCGCTATCAAAAACACTACTTAGAGTGTCATTTGCGAGCCTGTATCTTCAAATATGCATCTTTTATCACGGTGTCACATCTCTATCAAGCAACAAATGTTGGATTGATATTCGTTGTTCATTTTTCAAGACGATGGGATTACCGATTCCAGATAAAGATTAAATAATTCAATTAATACATTCGTTATTTCTTCGTTAATAGTGTATGCCATCACTCGATATATTGGGATCAATTACGAAAATAACAATAGTTTATAATACGACAACAGTAACTTCTAAAATTAGCACTAATTATTCTAATTCTTTACACCTGTCAATCAAAAATTCAAAATCAACATTCTGACCAATCAGAATGCTCCGTCACCCAGCTGCCGGAGAACTCAGAATGTGTAGTTTTTGGGCAGGCGGTATTTCTAGCTTCCCGTTCTCTCGTGCCCGCGAATACCGCCTGCTACGCAGGCTAAGGTTCTCTCCTCTCATGGTTCCAAAGTTACGTTCCAAAGTTACAAATAGATAACGAGTCGTTCTCCATGGCGTCTGTTCCAACTGGCTTCCGGTTACGTCTGGTGTACCACAAGGCTCTATACTTGGTCCGTTACTATTTCTGGTGTATTGCAATGACGCTCCAGATTACATTCAGGCTAATTCAACGCTCGCACTCTTTGCCGACGATTCCAAACTATACAGAACTCTTGAACATCCCATCCTCTAGCAGCTTACTTCAAGTCGACCTTAACAACGTTCAGAGATGGAGTATTGACATGAAAATGGAGTTCAACCCCAACAAATGCAAGGCAATAATGCACATCTTGAGGAAGAAGAAATTGGAAAACAACACGCTGTACAATCTCAATGGTCATCCGATCGAGAAAGTTATGCACATCGGGGATCTCGGTGTCACCGTATCCAGTGATCTATCGTGGTCTAGGCATATCGAGGTCACTGCATCGAAAGCAAATAAGACTCATTAAAAGGATATGTAGGAACATGCGTGACTACGCTACAAGAAGACTCCTGTATTGCACCCTGGTTAGGCCCCAGCTGGAATATGCCAGTAACGTCTGGTCGCCATATACCATCAAACACAAATCATTAATTGAAAATATTCAGCGGCGAGCGACGAAGTTTATACTGAACTACCCGAACGAAATGTCCTATACAGAGAGGCTAATTAAAACAAACCTCCTTCCATTAGAATTCCGCCGAGAGATCTCCGACCTGTTGCTAGTTTTCAAATCAAAAACCGGACTAATATCTATGGATGTCAATAACTATTTATGCACCTTCGAATCAGGCTATAAATCACGACGCAATTACGACGAAAACAATTTCAACTTCCTGATTAATCACAAACAGGACTACTTTAGGAACTCTTTTTTTATAAGATCAGCCAACCTGTGGAACAGTCTTTCATCAGAACTGAAATCTCTAGTAATTAACTCTAGTATATCCATATTTAGAGCCAGGCTACGCGAGTTCTATAATGCTAAATTACCATCATATAGTCCTCCTGGCTGCATCTAAGTAAATTTAATGTTATATAGTTGTTTGTTTAATCATATATTAGTAATTGATAGGGGTAAAGTGTCAATTGGGACGCAAGCCCTGTTCTTTTCTCCAGTCACGTCTATGTTTAGTGTGTTATCTTGTAAGAATGTTGTGTTAGTGTTGCTTGTTTGCTAGTATACATTTTTTGTACATATCTATATAAAGGTGACGAAATTATTAAATTAAATGTAATTTGACTGTACCAGATGCTGGAATACCAAAAAGTGAAGAAAGCGCACCAATAAGATTTATTAACGAAAATGCTTCATCAAAATAATATCCTCCTGTAATCTCCATAACCAAGATAGAATATGTAACCCACCACACGCCCTCGACTATTCCAATTAAAGCCATATACACGAGTAACAAAGGAAAAGCACGAAGAAAAGAACACATGAAATTCAATACACCAAACAATGCAAATGTTATTTGCATAACCATTTTCACCTTGCCATGTTTTAGAGCAAAATCACCAAAACGTCCAGCTATCAATCTTATTACGAAAGATGTCAATCCTCTTACTATTAACAACCATTTTGCTTTTGATAAAGGATAACCTAATGTGACACCATAACGAACCTACAAGGTAAATATTAAAACAGAAAACCAAGCACTTTACCACGAAGATGCATCACAGACTATATAACATTACAGGTTACTTTTGAATTGTATTTAGACATGTTTTGCGAAACAGATGTCCCAGGAAATTTGACTCCCCTGGGCCATACTGTATTTCTTGGGAAATTTGGCCCCGTTTTTAGAAATTTTTTCCCCCTATTTTAAAACCACACTCTACCTTACGGAAGTTGCTTCTTCCATTATCAGCATTTTCAGTTAGATTCTTTTACTTATGGTCTCCAAATGTAAGCCTATACATATACGATGGGGGCCAGAATTAAATATGCAGGAATGCTGCTAGTCGATATCCTTGTGGGAGTTTTCCCTGGGCTCAGTGGCAAAAATGATAGCAAAACAATTTTCATACTTACCATAAAAACGATTGGAATATAACAAGTAAAAAAATACATTGCTATTGCAACCAAAGAGATAGTAAAAGATTTGTCTTGTAAGAATTCCTTGTAGAGATTAATAACAGATTTCCCGCTTCTTTCAGTTGATTCTGTGTCTTGGTGCACATGATGACGAGCAACAAAACCATAGCATAAAATTATCGGGGCAAAGACCAACAAAGACACAAATGACATCTTATATCCAAGTGCAGCCAAAACAATTGGTAAAATGAAAGACACCACCACTGCCCCTATGGAGTTGGCACTATAACGCACACCAACAGCAAAACCAAAATATTTACTAAAATATTCTCGCTGAGTTATAACTGATAATGTAGCGACAATGCTCAGCGAAGATCCAAATGGAATCGAATAAGTTAAAAAAACAATGTTTATGTTGGTCATAAATGGTGTGACGCATAGCGAGAAACCATACAGTACGCTCGAGATGAACATACACCAGCGAAATCCAACACGTCTGTGAATATAAACCACTATAGGGGACAACGCTCGTCCTAGGAAGAAAACTATCGAGCCTATCCAACCTAGAAAGAGTAATCGGATCATGTATCTCGTATTATCCTGGCTTATGGCTAGGTACATGGGTTAAATGATATTACCGTATTTCCCCTATGTAGCCCCCAGAGTTTATATATTTTCCCGTGATTCTGGACTGGAGGCTTATAAGAAAGGGACGGTGGGCTAAATAGAGGATCGGGGATGAATAAAGTTTGTTCTTGTAAAAATTATTAAGTACTAGTTACAAACCCATCATTAGAGGAACATTTGAAGAGATTTTCATACAATTTTAGAATTTACCATTATTTAGCCGTATCAGTGACGTTATATATACAACATTATCAGTGAACGTTATAAAGATCGTTTGCGTTCATGTTTTGCCATAAGTTTACATCGAGAATGATTTAATTAATGCCGGAAGGGGACTAAATAGAGTGGGGGCTTATTTTGTTTCAGCTAATTGGAGGCTAATTTAGATGGGAGGAGGGTAAAGGAGCTTGGGGACTAAATTAATACAGGAAATGCAGTATATTTATACAATAATAATGCTAATGATTCCATCTCATGATGCTCATCTTAGAAAACTAATGATTGTGTATCTCGTATTATCCTAGAATGCAAGAGGAAACCTAAACCTAATTCTTACCCTATAACATCTGTTGATTAGTTTATTTTTAGCCTATGTAATTTTTGCATAAACTGTCGCATGCAACCTGCTAACAACTTGAGTTGTACTGTGTAAATCAAGCACACAACTCATCTACGCTCATAACTACCATTCATACAGGTAGCACATGGTCCAGAAACGATAAAATAATATGCATGCATTGCTGCTAATTCATACCTCCCTTTGCATTGCTCACATTTAAGTGGTCTATAAAAACAGCGACAATAATCCCAATTGAGTCACCAAGACCGACAATTGTAAAACTGACAATACTAGTTGCAGTTAAATAAAACCATGAGTAAGGTCCATCTTTGCGTATATTACTCATCTAAAATGGAGATAATTAATACATTGTTAGTACGGGCAGGGCATTTCTAGTTCCAGTAGCAAGGAATAGTAGCTAAAAATAAAAAAGCAAGGCTAATTACTAAAGGAAACTTCTTGTCAGAGGGCGGTTTTCACGTTGTTCACACTTGTCAACAATATTGAACAATATTGTTGAGCCTGAATCGGGTGTAACAATATTGTTCAATATTGTTGACAACTGTGAACAATGTGGGCAGCAAAGCATTGTTCAATCCTGTTTTCATCAATATTGCAACAACCTGAGCGTTTATACGCGTGTAGATTATTTTATTTTTACAACAATTGTGATATCACTTTCTTAACTGTGTTCATCCTAACCCAACCTGTCAACTTTCCCTGTGGGAGGAAACCGGAGCACCTGGAGAAAACCCACGACTTTCGGCAGAGCGTTGACGGACTCTTTTCATATGAGTCCGTAGCGAGAATCGAATCCACGAACTCAGAGGTTGAAGGCGCTCTGACGACTGCGTCACCGAAGCCCCACGGTATAAAATGGATGACAGATGTAGACAGATTAATGTGGAAGAACGAAGAAGACATAACAAAATGGATTTTCATTTGGTCGAAGTTGAAGACAGCCATCTTGACGAAGTATCGAACCAACGAAGCGACGACGGAACAGGATTTTCTCACTCGAACACGACAACCAAGTGAATCATTTCTCGTGTATTCTGTTGAATTGGAGTATTTGTACCGTCAAGCATTCAAGGTCGAACCTGGAACAGCTCTCTCCAACCCATCAAAGAAAGCAATTCCTCGACAGTTTCTTCGCTGGATTCCACAGCCCATTTCGTGAAATGGCCTCACATGCTCGTCGTACGGAATAAGTCTTATTTCGCACCAAGATCGACACCTGCCGATAACATATCCACCGTCAAATCTGCCGAGAATTTAAAGATCTTAAAACATTTCTTCACGCAGTTGCAGAATCATTCTTCTAACCTCCTCCTACTTTCCCTCAACATCCCTCCCCTTTCACCTTCCCACTCTGATGATGTTTTTCAGTTCGTGTGGATCCACCGCACACTTGCAAAGGAATTGTGACCGTAACCCTTTCCCCTCCCCTTACGAGGCAGGGGCCGTATCCGGGAAGTTGCCCTAGCAACCGTGCTGCACGATCTTCCCGCCGACCTACAGTAGAAGCAATCAACAGGAAATCACTTGTATTAGGCTGGGTCACTTTGCTGCCCAGTGGGCCTGGGTCACTTTGCTGCCCAGATGGCTGGGTCACTTTGCTGCCCAGTGCCACTCACAACTGAATAACGTCAGTGCTGAGGGGGTCAATTCGTGCCAAAACGATCTTGGTCACAGCGTAGATCTACCATGTATGTTCTTGGGAAATACATGGTTAATTGTTGGACACTGGGTCGGATGTAACATGCATCAGCTCCACACTGCCCGACGCAAAAATGCATATAAATTGTTTGTCCCTATTCCTAGGACAGATTTAGCATGGTTGCAGAGACCATAAACGTCTACGAAATATTTGTCAAAATCAGAAAATTTGAAGCGAAAATGAGATGAATTTTGAAGCAAAATGGGTGAAGCGAAAACGAGACTAGAATATGGACAACCAATATGCTACATCTGGTATTACTCTCATGACATTTGAGAAGGAAGAACGCATAGAAACGTTTTGGTCCCCAGAACATATTTAGTAGTGTTAGAAAGGGCATGAAATTCTGCACAATCCGATGTAAAAATAAAAAAAGATTGTATAGAAATTGTAAGATAAAGCGAGAGTGTGGACACGCATTTTGTATGTGTTGCACTTACATGTAAAGGGCGAAAACGCATAAAAATCATTTGGTCCCCATGACAAATTATATCTCGTTTGAAGGGGCATTATCTCAGTACAAGATAAGTGACAATTAAACTTTGGTATAGAATATGAAATGATAAAATTAGAGTTGTTATGCACTATGTGCTTCTTCTTAACAATATCCAGTCGGGGGGACGAGTGTTAATATGCCAAGTCAGACTTAGAGGGTATGACTAGCTCATTAATGGCCGTAATTATACGTCTTGTGTTAAGTGCGACTAATATAAATACGAGATGAACAGTTGGAAACTAGTATAGAATGAAACCAAGAAAATATAAAATGTTTTGAATTTGACAACCATCCAGGTGATCTCGGAACTAGGAAAAGGCCTGGCACTAGTTGTAAAATAGAAATCCGTTTCTGGTTTAAAATTACTCAATATCTCATTAACGGTATTAGATTTATATTTCAAATTTGTCCCAGACATTCATTTCCCTGTGCAAGACACAGACACAAAGTTTCAAACAGTTTCATAAAAGAATCAGGGCGTGACAAGTGATTAAAGGTACGAAAATGGTTTCTATTCTCTTGCTAGTCCCAGTCCTTTTGCTCACCGTCAGATCACCTGGATCTGTAGTGTTTCCTTGCTAAGTGCGTCCAAGTTTAGTCCTCTCGTATTTATACTAGACAAATTAAACGTCTAAGAAGATTAAGACGTCTGTTAATTTAAGTGCGTCGTTTGAACGCACTTAACAGACGACGTTAATTTTTTATTCGTCTGTCTAATTTCCCGTATTTATATTAGACGACTTTAACGTCTTAGACGGTTAAGTCGTCTCAGACGTTAATTAAGGCATCTTCTAATATAAATACGGCCATTGTTAAAAGTTTTTAAAAATTACAAAAATTTCGACATTATTATTACCATAGTCCTAGTAGAAACCAAAAGTCGTAGTATTTAGTATTTGATACATCCATTATTAAACAAACACAATTAAATATTAAATACTTAATTATTTATTTCTATGTCCTAATTGGAATTTCAAACAGATAATTGCTTCATCGTTAGGTTATAATTTGTTTCTGTTTGTTCTATATTAATTTAATTCCATATCCAAATGTAGATCAGTTTGAATTGATGATTTGGTTTGAATGTCAAATAATATGGGTGAAAGAACTTGGGGCTTTAAAGAATCTTTACTACCTAAACTAAAGTTCAATAAAAAAAACTCTTTAGATAAAACTCTTAGATAACTCTTTAGATTCTAGTAGTATTTTCTACATTTAGGATAAACTTTTTTAACAATCTTTGAACTTTCCCTCATATAATTTTTAAATATTTATCATAGTTATGTATATATGCATGTCTTCCTTGTAAATGTGTTTATTTAGTTCAGGACCTTTCTGAATATCACTTTGTGAGAAAGCTTCCTGAAAATAAATATTAATTAAAAAATCCTTTTAAATGATGGGAAATAGTGAGCTCACCACATGTGGTCATAATAATCTGTCGAGTTAATCTCGTGAAGAATGCTGTTACGAATGTTGTGATGAATATCGTCACAGCTCCACAATGGCACAGATGAGGTAAGTACAGATGTGAATCTCCTGTGAAATTGCTGATTGTTTTGTGTCACACGGAATTCTCACTTCCGGCGAGCGCTGGCAAGCAGGGCTCTCACAATCAAATTTAAGAATTCCTTAGATTTGCCTAAAAAATTCTCAAAATTTCCTCAGATTTCCGTAAAATTCCCTAGACAAACATAACATAGTAACATGAAGTATTTCCTTAACAATACGTAATTCACGTGGAAAATACACTTCAAAAATTAATAATTTATACAAAAAATATTAAGAATAATGATGTGTTTAAAGTTTTAAACATGAGCGGTTTCAATCTCACGTTTTTCGAAGAAAACGAAGACGCGGAAGAAGAGTCCGGATCAGAGTCAGCAGACGAAGGATTTTTGATACTAGAGTGATTAGTGAAATGACTGCAAGGTTTCGTTGGCATTAAAATATATATAGCTCAAAACATGTGTCAGTGAATAACCTGTTTATTAGCACGTGGCGTACAGTACTCGCAAATCAAATTATATTGTGTATTCATGATAGTCATGAATCAGCTGAATGTTTGTCACTTATCATTTTCAACACAAGTTGAACCAAATGTGCACAAAACCAGGCAAAAACAATTGAAACATAAGTTCCATGTACTTCCATCTAGCTTGACCAATATTTCAAAAAATTCCCCAAAAATTTCCCCAAAAAATGCGATTCCCCAGATCGCTCCCCAAAAATCCGCCAATTTCCCCGTTTTGGGGAAATTTCCCCAAAAGTGAGAGCCCTGCTGGCAAGTGTCGTTCTGAAATTTAATAAGGAAAGAGATAGGAAAACGCCGATCGAAAGACGAAAAATTGTTTTTTTAAAAAGTCTACGCTACCGACGGCTATTTTTGGAATTAATTCTTCAAGAGTAACGGTAAGCGATCACTTTTATTGATTTCTTTTTATTAAAAGTGTTAATATAACATTTTATTTAGCAAAAGTTTGTTTTTTCCCCTATCTACTTCTTATTAAAATCGTGAAATACACTTGCTGGGAATTTCAGATGCTCGTGTATAAATAACAAAACAGCGAATGATATAAATGCCTCAAAACATAACTCTCGCATAAAAAAAACATGAATACTTCTATAATATGTATAGTTTTATTCCTCTGCATTATCAAAATTTAATAAAACAGTGAATTAATACAATTTTAAAGTTTATTTAATCCGTGTGACACATTTTCACAGGAGATTCACATCTGTATTACCTCATCTGTGACAATGGTGAGAAGAGTTTGATTGCTGTCGCTAGTCATAGTTAATATAACTATGCGCTAGTCGAGACAGCTTTGCAGTTGCTTGAGTTGCTGCATGTCGAGAGTCTCATAGTGCGAAATAGTGCTTTAATGCTTTAAGAGTCGCATAATGCGAAAGACATGTCGCTCCAACGTCGCTCAAATTGCCTCTGTCGCACCTAATCCATTCTGTCGAACTTAAACTTAATCAAACGTCGCTCTTGTCTAGCACTTAAATAGCTATTTTGGTTCGGCTCATAAGAAGAGCGGCATTTGAACCGGGTCTCAAGATACGGTAGCGGTTAAACTACGGCAACAAAAGTTACATTTCGGCGATTTCGCTACTTTTATGTGGTTACTGACAACATGCTGTGGACGAGTGGATCTAATGAAAAGGCATTCTTTGTTACACTAACTGTTGCAATTTATCGTATATAAAAACCCCTAACTTTTGCGCCACATTTCTTCATAATTTGGTAACCGCTACAGTAATAAATGTCAACAGAGTACTACAGGTAGAAGCGTGCAGATTGTAGTGTTTTGTCTGTAAGGGGCAAACTAGACAGAAGCTGCAGTTTAGTTATAAAAATCTACTGATCTGTGTTAATTTAAAATTTAAATAGTGCACCAACGATGGCAACAAAATTGAAGTGAACGACAACCGGCCACAGCCAGGTATTTACAGCCTAATTTGGACAAATAAGTTGCTGATATTTCTCAAATATGACGATAATAACTTCGAAAGACTTACGTCACTTACCATATCAACATGATTATTTTCAGTTGGTAAAGGCTCAACGCGAGAATATAAACTCGTCCCTTATTTATATTTTGCTTTATGGCTTTATCCAATTTACAAGAATTATCACTCACAGACATTCGATTCCCTTGCAATGTACATTGTCACACTATTACTAGCTGTGTACAGACGCGGTTACTATAATGTTTTCTCGACTCCCCGAAGCGTGCCAGAGAACGTCTGTCGTCTGTAAGGGACCGTTCATTTTTTATCAGGAGGGGGGGGCTGGTGGTTTTTGCAGGGGGGCCACCAGAAAAATAGCGATGTGAGAGGGGGGTCATCTCAGGAACTTAAGTTTTGAAGGGGGGGCCACCAAAACATCAATGAATACATAATATAGAAAAATCAAAGCAATAAACTTTCGTACTCTTTCATTCATAAAAACTCAAAGATGGCAAAGTAAAGTTTCGGTACATGCATGTAGTTAAATTACACATGTAACAATTAGGAATTTTACAGCCTAGACCACAGGGGGTCCAACTAACAGCTGTGTTATGAATAAAACATATTAATTAAACGTAATATGAATAAAACATCATAACGTAATATTGCACATACTTGTATAAATCATAAGAGCTTGCATTTTAATACAGTGAATAGCTTCAAAAACTTGCTTCGTTCCAAAGACTTCAAATATGGCGAATAAATTGACAAAACGATAATATTACATGACGTTCCAACGAAAATAACAGAAAGGATTGCGGGCGCGAGCG